CAATTCTTCAATGACTTCCGAGCAGGTGGTGCACATACATCGAATGGGTGGTGGATAATAATTCGAAGTTTTAAAGTGCAAGATCAAAGGACCTGGCACAGTTATACCGAATTACGACAGCATTCCTGGAAATCACTAATATAGGATATCAGTACTAATACCCGAGGGTCTTGGTATTCTTGGTATTATAAATTCCTCTTTAATTTTATTTTATGCAATACTATTAGATTATACACTGCCTTTCGTTATCGCTAAGTCAATAATTTGTAATTATTATCTGGCCACTAATGTTCATGCTGTTGACCACTAGATGTTGTAGCAAGATGACAGCCCGGCGAAGCAGCACCGGTCAAAGTTGTTGCAAAAGGAAGAAGGTGCCGGTATCAGTTAGGACTGAAGTTAGTGGCTAATTCCCTTCGCCTTGCCCAGTTGCCCTTCGATTCCATGTGATATGCAAATGATCCATCTCATGACTCGAGTTCCCCTGTCCGTGATATGCAAAAGAAGGTGCTAGTAGCAGCAAAGATTGAAGTTGGTGGCTAATTCCCTTCGCCTTGCCCAGTTGCCCTTCGATCCCATGTGATATGCAAATGATCCGTCTCCTGTTTCGAGTTTCCCTATAAATGAAGTGATTAGAAATGAAAAGTGCTCATTGTTTCTTGTGTTCATCTTTGTTCTGCGGTGGTAGCTTGCAGCTGCTGCCGAATCTTTCTTGTCTCACGGTTTGTTTGCTGCTTTGTTTCTTTTCAATAAAACGTTTGTTGGTACTGCGCCCACACAGAAGCATCTGGTTCCGGGTCTTTACGTTCCTCCGAGCGTTACAAAGTAACTGAAGAACCACCAGCTGTAATTAGCTCAAGGACTACTAAGACTGTTCTAAGTACCAAAGATGTATTCCAGTGCCCAAGCTCATCCTGACGACGTAAACCCACCCCGACACTCAACCCCCGTCCCGTGCACCACCTTTTCCACGCTATAGGCGGGCTCACGCCCTCCCCCTCCCCCACAACGGCACAAGCTCGGGTCTGTTCATAAAACTAAAGTAACTCCAAGTAGCAGTGTTACAACTCTATTCCTAGTTTCTGCATAGCCTCCAGCTGAGAGAGGTCCCTTCCTCTCCCCCTTTGCCCCGCCCACAAGGGCCCTCCCCGCGGCCGCCCACACCCCGCGCACGTGCAAATACGGAAGCTGGATGCAAATCGATCGACTACGGTAGCTCACAAATTCCCTAGGATTTTGTGCTGCAGCACTTAGACAGCCCCAGAGATAGCCTGTTTGGCGAAGTACTGGTAAATCGCGGGAGGGAGGGGAGGGTTTACCGCGGCAGGAGCTAATGGGGGGGAGGGGTGGGTAATTTTACCCGCGACGACTCGGGATCCCCAAAGATCTCATGATAACGGCTAAAGCGGTCCTAATATTTCCAGGGTCTTTGAAGGATCACGGTTTGGCACGGTTCCAACAGGAATCGATATTCGTGGATAACCGGTGCGACTGGTCGGTTTCGAGAGTTCCGCGGTTGTTCGGTGTGTTTCTGGCTTGTTCGATTCTCGTTGTTCGGTAGTGTTTCGCGGGCAATACGCACATATGGCAGGTTGGTTTTCTTTTGCTCCGGCTTTGTATCAGTGACGTAAGGAATTATGTGTTTGATGAATAAGGACAATGAAAAATTTGAATTTTATTAGATGAGTAATTGTGGTACTTTTTTGACATACACCGCCCTGCACTATATATACCCGTCAGCAGTAGTCTTCACAAATCATCTCTTGTCAGTTCCATTCATCACGAATCGGTGTACTCCTCCTGAGGCTAGAGATTCCAAAATAAAACCACGGAAATTTTTCTCATTTTTTTTTTTTTGTTTACCATTTTCAACAACGACTATATAAGCGTAAACTTGAACTCATCTTTTGTCAGTTCCATTCATCACGAATCGGTGTACTCCTCCTCGGGCTAGAGATTCCAAAAACTCAAAAATATTTTGAGTTTTTAAATCCACCAGTTTTCAGCGATGACTGTAAAGTGTAAACTCATGAAGTCACTACAAAAGGGCAGTACGGGCCTGAAGGGCCCTATGAGGAAAAGAAGAAGGGATCGGAACAGCGGCCCCGTAGCTAAGG